TTAAAAATTATGATAATAAATAAAATTTAAAAAAACCTGTGTACCTCACAGAGACTATTTCAGAGTAAAAGGTGGGACAATTCTGATACTTATTAAGCACCTACTATGCTTTACTATGCTCGACAGGCTCCACTCAGCTCATTTCTCCTGATCTTGAAACTCAAGAGAGAAGGCTAAAACAGTGAGTTGCAAAATGAGAGTTTGGATCCAGGTGTCCTAACTCAAAGCTCTTTCAAAGTGTGATAAGGAGGTCATTTTTGATGATTGAATGGCTGAGTGTTGTTCCTAAGGGAAAAGAAGCATGCACCACTGTAGCTTCAGGTACTGCATAAAGAGAAGCTCAGGATGACACTGCCCAAGCTGGTGGTCACAAAGAAATCAAAATTAGTTTCATAGATATTTATCAACGGATTTAGAGGGTATCAGACCATTCTATTTGCTTCAGGCTTGATCTTCTAGCAATTCAAAGTACACTTACTGAAGGCATGTGTTGAACTTATTGAGCCAAGCAACATGAGGAGAAGCAGAAGGAATGAGATAAATGCATGTAGGCAGGACATGCAGTCTTCGTGGATATATTTTCCGAGCTTCATGACTCTTCTTAAAGTTTTGGTACACCACTTGAATTATAGGTCACGAGGAAAGTGTCTCAAGGATTTTGCTCATATTGACCTCTTCTCTTGAAGTCCTTCCAAAGTTAAGTAATGACTTATTCACTTCAAATCCTGCTCTTCAGTGCTGCAAGGATACAATATCCGGGAAGTCATGATTCCCCCCGGAACCAACAAAATGATGTAGGAATAAAGACACCAGAGTGAACCTGTTCAGCTTTATTTACCTTATATAATCCAATATAAACAAAAAGTGTTGTTCCAGAATATTTAATATCTCAGATCTTTGTATATCACCCTGACTCACCCTTGCTGATGTGCCAAAACTTTCCTAAATCCAACCCTACAATCCCATCAATCTCATTACATGATGCTAAGTGTGTGGGAATGGGAATGGTGGCTGTTTCCAAGAGTTGCCACAGTAACACTACACAATGTGTGGTATCATTCACTTCCACATCCTTGTGGTTCAAAGGAAGTTCTTTTCCACATTTTCTTTCATTCCTGAGCTTCCTCAGTAGTCCACAGATCCTTTCTTTTTGGACTATCTTGAGCACATCCTTGCCTTCTTCTCAGGACAGTTCCTCAAGTCTTCAACATCCACCAAAGTAGAAACATAATGTTTCTATTTTACCCAATAGAAAAGCTTTAATTGTCTTGTAAAAACATGTTTAATCTTTGCCATAATAAAAATATTCAGTGAAAGAATAGCAAGGGGAATTAGGTCATGTATTAGGTCATCAGGAAAGTCATGATGTATTTTTCTGGTTTTCTATGCAAAAAGGCATCATGACTTTCCCAACAACCCAATAGAATGATTTTCTTTCTAGATTATGGAGGATTCTGGTGGTAGGTGGTGGTAGGAATGATCTGAAAATGAGAAATGAGAGTTCCCAATAAAAAGTAGTCATTCTCTGGGGCCAGCAGGTGGTGAGGTAGTTGGGTTGCTGGACTCCCACATTGCTAACCATGGTTCAAGTCCCAGACTTGGCAGCTTACTTTCTCACTTTCCCTCATTTCTCTCTCTCTGTCTCTCTCTGGCAAATGCACATATTCTCTAGCAAATTATAAAAAAATAATAATAAATGAATTAAATAAGTAACTTTTTAAAAACAGAAAGTAGTCATTTTGGTTTTATTTATAGGAACTATGAACTTTTCATTTCATCTTTCCTTCAGGCTTTGTTGAACACTTTTAACTCCATCCACACTTTTCTTCAACGTCAGGGGGAAACAAATGTATAATAAAAATGCCATTTCTTTTCCTACCGAAAATCATATCTTTTTAAACTATTAATGCCAAAGAAACAAACACTTTGCTTATTTACTTGATCATCCTATATGGGAATATATTGTTCAACTGAAATTTTGATGTCATACAGGAGGTTAACTGGAAAGATGTTGTGACAGTATTTTGACTAGAGCTGAGACTACAATACATGAGGATACTTTATAAAGTTCAAGGAAAATGGAATTAAAGTGCAACTTTATTATGGTAGAAAGAATTTCAAAATTTATACAGATTTTTCATAGTATGGATTTTCTATGAACTTTTTGGACACCTCCCTTCATATTATATAGGCCTTCTAAGGGATAGTCAGCAGAACTCCACTTAAGAAATAAATATTAAAAAAAAAAAGAAATGAATATTATTTTTCTATATGCCTGGCCTATGCTTTTTTTTTTTTTTTTAATGACATTATGGAACCAGCCCATGGCCTTGTGGTAAAGGTGGCTGGATCCACATAGTTTGAGGCCTGGACCCAGTAGCTTGAGATACATGTAGGTCATGTGTACATGCATTCTCAAAACTGCAAAGGAGGGAGAGATGGAGAAGGGATTGTGATGTGACGATGCCCCATGGGGTCTGTTTTCTTGCTTTCCTGCTCCCTCTTTCTCGCTCGGTCTCTATGTCTCTCCAGCAAGTATACACCCTCTAGCAAAACAGAAAAAGAAAGAAAACAAAATGAAGATTTTAGTTTACCTTTTTATCAGCAATTACAAGCATGGAATCCACTGCTTCAGAAATAAGATTAAGAAGGTCTAAGACTGAGATCAGATACTCATATAACTCTAAAGTTCTAAATTCTCAACATTTTCATCTATAAAATGAGAATAGCAGAATCTGCTTGTCAAACGTTCAAGGAATAAGTGAGATAGCACATGACAAGTGTTTTGTAGAGTTCTAGCTGCCATAACGAGTTACTAGCTTAGAGGGATAATTATCAAAGCCATGGCTATACTGTTTTGTTTTTGTTAATATTAATTCAACCAAGAATCATATTTTAGAGTTCTAAAAGCTGGATATCCATAACACAGTAATAGAAATCTCTGCTTTACTTCATTTTTACCATCTTCTTAAATGCTTGTGTATATTAAAATATGTTAAAATTTATAGTGTTAAATATCAATCTTAGAATACTTACAGTCATCTTAATCATTGAAATGTAATAACAATTTCTTGCAAAAGACAATAAGTAGTACTACTGGGTTATTAGAAAAGTCATGACATATTTTTTCTGGTTTTCTATGCAAAAATGACTTTTCCAATGATCCAATATTTATTCATAGTCATTGTAACTTTTATATTTGCCTGTTTAATATATAACAGATGTGGAAAGACATGGGTTTGTCCCACCCACCCCATTGCTCAGTGTAACAAGTGGCATTGACTCAGATTACTGTGTGTGACACAGTGAGATACTCATGTATCCGTGAAAAGCAATCCAGGTTTGCTCTGAAGTTTTGCTGTTTATTCGACATGCATCCTTTCTTTCTTTGATTAGAAAAATTAAAGTCCTAATGGTACACAAAATTTGTAAGAAAAATTTTAATTAATTTTATAGATCTCAAGTTAACTGACAAGGATGCATGTATATGGCTTTCAAAATTATTAGGTTGTCATAAAAGTCATGACACATTTTTGCATAGAAAAATATGTCATGGGAACCCACAGTTGACATAATGGCTATGTTGCTGGACTCCATGTAGTCTACCACAGTTCAAGTCCTGGACCTGGTGGCTTAAACTCACACCGGGCACGTGTGGGTGCAGGCCCAAGATCCTGAGAGGAGAATGGAGGAGAAGGGATTGCGGCATAGCCATCCCCCCTTGGGGGTGACTTCTCACTTTCTATCGCTCTGTCTCTCTCTGTTTCTCTGAAGAGCGCATACGCCCTATAGCAAAAACCTCTCTAAAAAAGAAATCTATGTCATGATTTTTCTGATGACCCAATAGTAACCTTTCCCCAAAAAAGCCCTGGAGAGTTACTAATGAGATGTCTATACTATGGCAACTACAGAGCAGAAATGGATTTACGGTCTGACTAGAAATATAACCACCATGATAAAATCATGCCACAACCTAGTTTATTCATTGAAGATATTGCAGCTAACAAACTGAAAAATCAGATGTACTTTATTCCTGGACCTTATGGCATAAGAAACATAAAATAAACTGACAGAAGTCCTATGTAAATAAGAAAAATCAAACATGGCCAGTACAGGTCATTAAAATGGAAGGTGGTTACAAAAATACTGATAAATCTAAGAATTTGGCCCTTTTTGTTTATAAATACCATGATTAAATATGTATTAAGCAGAAATTGTATCGAATGCCCCCGCAGAAATAATCATACACCCTACCACCAAACAACAACAACAAAAAACCCTCAGCAGTTGAAAACATCTGCGGCTTTCATTGCTCATCAAAATATTTCGCCACTTGAAATTGCTCTTACTATACTTTGAAAGAATTGATGCCATTTTTGTGGCTCGGAGATAGCAGTTCTTCTAAATCTTCCATAGTCAATGTCTGCCCTTCTTCCCAGAGTTAAAGTGAAAAGGCCAAAGGAAAAGAGGACAAAGTACAAGTACCACTTTCCACTCCTCAGTCCTCAAAGCTCAAGCTGAGGCATAAACACCAGGAAGAGATTCTGAGTTTCAGGTCCTCCATTGTGGCATCTCATTACTACTGGTTACACCCAAATAAAGTACGGTTACTTTAGCAGTATCTAGAAAGAGATGCCTCTGCCCGACCTCTTTGGGATGGGTCTGCCATCCAAAGGGCAGATGGCAAAACTAGCTGAAGGCAATTTAATGGTAGCCCAAAAGACTATATTGGTCTATTAGTTACTCTTCTTTTGTTTTCTCCAAGGTTTGCAATATGCATCTTTAGTTGAAATCAAGCATCAAATAATGTTATGTCACTTCTTGTTTTATATATTGTATTACTAGTATCACTTCTTGTAATATAACACAAGACCTTATACAAAGGGTCTTCAAAATGTTCATGGGAAATGCATGTTTTAAGAAACTTTGCATGGATTTCAATTTCATTTATTTATTTTTTGGGGCACCAAAGTAAACTTGTACTTTAATAAAAAAAATAATAAAAAAAAAAGACTATACAGTCCTTATATAGGCAATGGTGGAAACTCTTTCTTCTGGGATTGGAAAAATTTAGAGATTAGAGGTCAAGCAGAGGTAGAAATATTCCCTGACTTCTGAAAGAGAGACATTAGATAAATTATTATTTATTATTTTATAAATACTTGTTCTGGAATAAATTTCTGCCTTGTATGAATATCCTTATAGGAGAAAACACCACCATTTGTTTGCATTTTATTTTTGGCACATGATAACTAAGAAACTTGGTGCTACTCATATTGCACATGTAAATTTCAGGATAGAAGACTTTGAGTGATTGGCACAGGCTTTTAAAGGAACAAACACAGTGTTGTTTCCTTTGGTTCTTGAGGACCTCCCTGCAGCATGGGTAGTGAGCATGTGCATTTGGCTCAAAACTCAGAATAACTTCTCTCCTGACAACCATAATTCCTTTATTAGACTTTCTAAAAAAAAATAGAAATGACCATTAAATCCAAACGATAAAGTGCAGGCCAGTGCACAGGCCTACAATTTAGTTCACTTTGGGTATAAGTGCAGAGATGTACTCAAATACACATACACATGCACACACCAAAAACCAACCAAACCAAAAACGTTGCACATTTCATCATCCCGTAAAGCACAGCATTTTATAGAGCTAGTAACTTAAAAAATAACACCCTGGTGCACATGCATACATTCTTTTTCTGTTCAATATAGCAAGTTCAATTTATTTTAAAAGAAGAAGGGTGGGGGAAAAAGACTTCCGCCAATGGGTTTATTTAAAAGGAAGCAAATTAAACAGAACTATGGTGATAACAGCAGATGCCTAGTTATAATTCATTTCCTTCATGCTGATTAATACATTCAAAACCAAATCAAACAAATTGCCAAAAGAGGAATGCTACTGTTAATATCCCAACAGCTACTGGTTTCAGTTATGCTTCTCAATCGGGCAAAATGTTCTTTCCTTTACTCTTAACGCTATTTATTTTGCTTCCTGCCAATCTCAAAAATAATTCATCGTGTGTGTCGTTTCCTCATAAATGCTTCCTGGTGCTTGATTGCTCTGCCTATGCAGCATTTGATTTCAAACAGTCATTTTACCTTTGTAAACATTAAGAGCTTTCTAAGCATGAGGAGAATGCCCAAAAGGCATACAAAAAGGAGGCTATAATTAGATCAACAGTGTATGTTTTACAGCATTATCTAGTTTTCTGCCTATTCCAGAAATCTCTGCATCCAACATTGCAATCCCAGCCCGGGTATAGCACAGTAAGGTAACATCTAGGGAAACCAGTGAAAAGGCTCTGGTATCAACATATCGACATGTTTAATTTATTATTGTTGCAAAAGAACAGCTTTCCCATGATTAGTGAAATAGAAAATATATAATATATTTAAGGATTTGCCTTGCTCCCAGGCCATAAAAAAAGACAGGGAAGCAGTGGAGTGGAAGGAGGGAAAAGCAGAGAACGAAAAAGAAAACAGAAGTAATATCAGTTACCACATGATTTTTGTAGTAAACAATAGAATATGACGTGCAATAGTGCAATTTCCTTTGCTAGTCCAGCATTGCAGGTTTTTCTAGGAAGTCCACTGGTGTTACTTCTCGCATTTCAGGATTTAGTTGCGGGCTTGCCGGGGGTTAGAGTTCCTGCCAGACTTCTGGTTCTGAGTGGAATCGCTAATGCTAGAATCAGTTTTACTCAATCCAAGATGGCGGAGCTTCATGTCCCAGCGCTATGAAATTTGAGACAGAAAATAGTCAAAAGTCTGTTTCGCCTGGGTTATCATTTCTAAGCTACTAACAAGTTGGAAAGACTGCAACACCAGCTCTTTAAAGTATTTTAATATTTTTTCCAAAGTATAAAATATTCCAGGATGACAACAAAACCAATGTTACATGAGCATAGTTCTCTCATTTAAAAAAATACAAAGTTGGTCATCTAGAATATACTCAGCATTGCTTTCATAGCAAACTTTAATCTTAAATTGTCCATGTCTTCAAATGGTGATACAATTACTACCAATATCTGTGGACTTTTTCTGGGGAAACACACTTGGGTCTCGTGCTTCACATGTAGCTCAACAAGTGGAAAGAGTTATGTAGAGAATTTAAAAGGCCGTTGTTTATCCTCTCCTTTTAAGACACATTAAAAAAAAAAAAAGTAGACTTTAAAACCTGTATGATTTGAGGCGAAAAAAAAAAAAAAGAAAAGAAAAATTTTTTGAGATAGGAAATCTCTTAAAAATGTTTTCCCAGGGACCAGCAGATGATGTAATGGTTACTTCGCTGGACTCCCATGTAGTCAACTGCAGTTCAAGTCCCATATCCAGCAGTATAAAACTCACACTGGGGGTGTGAGCATGCATGCCCAAAATCCTGGGAGGAGAAGAAATTGTGGTATGACCATCCCCTCAGGAGGCAATTTCTTGCTTTCTGTCTCTCTGTCTCTCCAGAGAGTATATGCACCCTATAACAAAAATCTCAAAATCTCTCTTAAAAATGAAAGGTTTTCCAAGTATAACAGACAAGGTCCTGCCCTCATTCTTAGTTTTACAAAGTGTTGAATAACTGCAATCAAGTTTACTAATATTTCATATTACAATATGTTTACATGTAATATAATAAATAAAAGTCATATTATGGGAGCATAGGTTATAAAATAAGGGCAATTTAATTAAACATCATTTTTGCTACTTAATACTGGAATTAATAATGGCATCTGTTGGGCAGTCAATGGCCTGATAATTAAGGGAACTGGGTCCCACATGGCAGACCGCCATACAGTTCGAGTCCCAGACATGGTGGCCTGAAAAACATACTGAGTGCATGTGCATACATGCCCAGTACCGCCACAGGATGGAGAAGGGACTGCGACATGATCATGTCCCATTAGGAGGTGCTTTCTCCCTCCCATTCTCTGTCTCTCTCTGGCAAGCACATGCACCCTCTGGCAAAATAAGAAAAGTAAATAATAGAATCTGCTTTTAAGACTTTTATTCTGAATAGTAAAGAAAAAATACTATTTACTACTTAATAGTAAATAGTAAATTAAAATACTTTGAATAGTAAAGATAAAATAACACATTTATCAAATGTGTTATTTGATAAATTACACATCATGATAAAAAGTCATTATGTTTCTACTACTGAAAGTAATTCTTTATTTTAACAAACTTTATTCCACAATCTCATTATCCTCATATTTTAAAAACAGTCTGGATTCTCAGCTCCTCACAATCATCCAAATATCTTGACTTGAACACTCTGCTATAGCAAAGACTTGGGTAAACATCCACTGGCATGGGAAAACTACAAAGAGGTCTTTTCAAAACTCTTCATCTTCCTACTGAGAGCAAAATTCAGCTGAAAAGGGCAACTTCGATTATAAAAATTTTAAAAATTAAAAAATAAAAACTAACATCCTCCATAAAACTGTTTTATATCCTTAAATTGACTGGAAAACTAAAATAAGGATCTTAATAATTCTGCCCAAAAGAGATTTTCCACCCAAACCCTTTAGCCCTGAGTATCTGCACATGAATTAAAAATTTTTCAAGGTATTGCTTTATTTCTCCCCTCTAGCATATTTGAATCCAGACCGAGAATATAAATAGTCTCATAATAACAACTCTATTAGTCCTGATAGAGAACAATGGGAAATATGTTTGCATTACTAAGAAACAGAACAAACCAGCCATGAGTCCTCTCAACAACATGATGATATTATTTTGGTACCAAAAAAGGAGCAATAAAGCTTACTGCATGCTTTGCAGCAGGGATGTTGAAAGCTCTTTCAACTGGTACAGGAATTTAGGACAAATTCCTGTTCTGCATTAGCAAGCAGAAAACCAAATTAAAAGGACAATAAGAGTTTCCAACGTACTGAAGAAGAGCCACTTTTTCTTTAATAATAAACACCAAACTAATTGATGAGAGATGCAAATAGAGAATACTCATGAGTCTGAATTTGAAATGTACCTTCTGATAAATATTCTGGGGTAAAAGAGAATTTACTGGAGGGTATTTCTCCCTACTAAATCATGCCCTCTACATTTCTGTAGGTCACTTAAACCCAAATGTGTCTGCTGTGTCAAGTGCCAGATGTATAAGATAAACTGCCCGGGGGTGTTTAACTTACCCTGTAAATGTTTCCCAAGCCTTCCAACTTGCAGAAGGAAGAGGATGTATTATGTTTGGTACCGTTCCCACTCCTCCCAACCCCCACACGCCCTTCAGATCCTTTACCCCTTTATGCATTTTCCTGATATTCTTTTCTTGGGAACATTTGCTCAGTGCCATAAGGAAAAATGAAAGCTTTTATAATAAAATAATATACTATGTGATTTTTTTCCTAATGTATCAATTCCAGAACCTAGGAGTCACTGGCTTAAAAATACAGTGAAATTATCAACTTAAGTATCTAAACTTGGCTGTATCTCTAATAAATAGATGAACGTGGTGCGCTTCGACTTGGGAACTGGTGTCTACACATTGGATAACACTGGCATTTTCCTATCTATCATTTATTTTCTCCTCGTATAATTTCCCTTTGTTCAAGAATGTCCAGATTTTAAAAGTACATTTCCTAGCTTCTCTTGCTGCTAGAGGTAGACATGATACCCAGTCCTAACCAAAAGTCCTAAGTAAAAGTTGCTAGGTGAGACTCTTGAAAATCCCTTCTACCTCCCCTTTCTTTCTGCCTGAACTGTAGGTGTGATGATAGAGGTGGAGAAGCTATCTTATGACTTCCAGGTGAATATGAGTATGAAATCAACACCCTTAAAAATGGCAGAACGGGAAAAGCAGTTGGCGTAATGGCTAAATTGTTGGACTCCCATGTAGTCAACTGTGGTTCAAATCCCGGACCCAGTGGCTTAAACTCATGCCAGATGTGTGTGTGTGTGCATTCCCAAGATTTCAAGAGGAGAATGGAGGAGAAAGGATTGCGGTGTGGCCATCCCCCCTGGAGGGTGATTTCATGCTTTCTGTCTCTCTGTCTCTCTCTTTCTGGCGAGTGCACACACGCACTCCCTCCCCCAAAAAATGGCAGATCAATGTGCTAAGCGGAGTATGAAACCCTAGTAATAATGTGGAGCTCCCCCCACCCCACCCCACCCCACCCAGGATATAACTATAACTATAGCTAGACTCTTTGTTATGAGAAGTTAAGACAACCGGAATAGATCTCTAATGCACATACAGAAAACTCATCCCCTAAGTGAAATAAAAATTGAAGACACTCAGTTTTTAGAGTTTTTAAGTGCATACACACACACACACATATACATATGCATGCACGTTTTTCACGTAGTCGAGGGCAGTTATTTTGTTTAAATGACAGATGATTCATTTTCTACTATTGTTTCTTGTGTTATATTAAACAAAAATACAAGCTTACCTTAACTTTTTTACCAAGCCGATCCTTCCATTTCTCAGCTATAGAGCCTTCCACCAAAAGTAATCTGCATTTTTTAAAGAAGGAGCCATTTTTGAAAAATTAGAACACATTATTGAAAAATGCAAAGAATCAATGCTGAAGCATGTGTATGTTTACTCTGGAATAGGACAGTCAAGCCTTAGAATAATAGTTCTTTATTTCTTCTTCTTTTTCTTTTTTTTTTTTTTTTTTCATTTTCATTTGGGAGTCACTGAGTCCTTTAAGAAACAAATGAAGTTATAGTCCCTCTCCCCAGAAAAATGCCCATCCATAAATTTCATGCATACACTTTTCTACCCAATATATGAAACTGAGAGACCCAATCAAAACCTATCTGCAATACCCAGGAAGGTAGGTACATCTCAAGGTAAGAACACTAGAGCGAGATCTCCAGAGAGAAATACAATGAAGTAGATGACTCAGACATTATTCTGAATAGTTAAGGACGGGCTTACCTAGAGCGTTCCTCATCTTCATAGCCCATGATGATATACTCTTCATTAACATTAAGCGGAGGGCAGAGGCAGCCAGAACTGGTGTAAAGGTTGACAGTATCCCTTGGAATGTTGACCAGAGAAGACTTTAGAATGTCTTTCACCTCCACTACTGCAGTCACATCATGGCACTTAGTCTTCACCTCTTTAACTTTAGCCCGAATGACTGTGATAAAGACAATAAAGCTGAGGCAGTAATATGATACACAGTGGATGCCCATTCCAAAAAGACAAGCTGGCTGCTTTTTTAGTCAGTTCCTATCTGCTTGATACACAAATAATTGAGAAGAAAAATCAAAAAGATATTTATGCCTCAGACTACAGTGAATGCCATACTAAACAACACACTTGCCTCCTTAATGCTCAGCTCTGACCTCTTTCCAGTTTGTATATCCTTGTATATTTGTGTATATAAATACATATGGGGGGGGTGTGTATTTCATTTTGAAAAATCCATGTAGAAAAATCAAAAGTTTGGGGCCAGCAGGTGGCATGGTGTTTAAGATGCTGGACTCCCACACGGCCAACTGCAGTTCAAGTCCCAGACCTAGTGGTCTGATATTCATGCCAGGCCCATGTGTGTGCATGTCCAAAAATCCCAAAAGGAAAATGGAGGAGAAGGGATTGCAGTATGACCATCCCCCCAGGGGATGGTTTCTCACCTTCCCTCTCTCTGTCACTCTGTCTCCAGCGAGCCCATGTGCTCTGTGCAAAAAACCCAAAAACCAAAAAATGAAAAAATAAAAGTTGAATAATATCATCCTCCAAAATTTTGTTTTTAATGTGTATATACGCATGTGTATAGTTCCAAAGCTGCCAATATGAATTTAAATATGAATTTCACTCTATGTATCTTGTACTACAACATAGTACTCATATATGCTTTATTTCCTTGTCAATATTTCTTCTATCATGTCAATTAATTTTCTTAAGTTTGGGAGGTCTCTTTAGTGTTATAAAATTGTCCTGTTTAATGTTCTCAAACTAGTTCTGTGATCTTTTAACTTCCTCACCTCAGCTCGCTGTTCGGACATTCTCTTCTCTTCCTTTGTGTCAGTACAGATTATCTTTTATACTGCCCTTTAAGTACACAACACTTGCTTCTGGTATAAAAATTGTCCCCACTAGACCTTGCTTCCTCCATCTACTTGGAAGTAAAACAGTTTAACATTCCTTCCTCTCATGTATTATGGAATATATTCCAATGTCAACTGCATTAATCTTCCTCTCTCAATGGACATGCTGGCACCCAAGGTATCTCAAGAGTCAGCTTCCATATATAAACAGATTGCTTTCAGTTTCAAAGTCAAAATAAGAGACTCAGAATCTAGAAAGTATGGTTCTTTACTATATCTGTCTCCTTTGGAGGAGCAAAATTCTTTAGATTCCTACTTTCAGCAAATGAGCCTTTTCAAGAGAAATTTTAAAAAGTCAAGAAAAAAGTAAACATCTACTCATACACCGTTGACATCGGCCCAGGTGCCTCATTGCTCTACTACAATATCCGTGGCTACACAGAGGAAAACACAATTATCCAAATGAACCCAGTTTGAAAGTTTCTTAGCACATAGCAGCAAGTCACTTTTTATCTGAGATTCTTACTGCATATTTTAGGGATTTGGGACTACAAATGATTGCAGGGAAAAGTAATTCATGAAAATATAGAACCAGTTAATAAACCATTTTTCTCTCGATGCTCCAACACCATCACAGAAACAGTAATATTTCCTCAGTCCAGCACATACACGACAGAAATGAAGTTCCTAATTAACTCTAAAAACTTCACTAATAGGGTTTATCAAATGTTATTTTTGTTTCACAGGTGTGTCAACCTTCAGAGAATTAGCTGTCTGAAATGTGGGAACTTGCAGCAGACAAAATACAACCACCTAGCTGTCCCTACA